GCTGCATTTTAAAGACTACACAAAAAAAAATTCTCTTTAGAAATATATTAAAATTTAAAACTTTTTCAGCCCAGCAATAGTGAGGAAAATCACAGAACAATAAGTCCTTTCCCAAGTCTATCTCCTGCTTCTGCTTTATTTAATCCATTCCATTTGTGTTTCCTCTCTCATTGTTGCCTTTGTCAGTATTTTGTCCTTCCTTCCTTCCTTCCCTGCTGCAAGGAGCATGCCTGAAACAGCAGCTGCTCACCACACCAATGCAAAGCTCAGGGAAACACCACCAGACCTACACATACTGCTCAAAAGTTCAGCAGCCCCACATGACTTCAGCAGACTTGGGGTTAAACCAGAAGGGTCCCCACAACAACACTCATCCACCTGCTGGAAAACTCTAACACTCAAGAGTCATACACAGAGACAACCTATGTAACTCCCTCAAACTGACAAATCCTCTCACTTCCTCCATCTGAAGAATAGTAGTTCTGTACAAACATTAAATTTCATTTCTCTAACCTAGCACACCACAGAGTGCTCATCCCACCCTCTGGAAATCACTTATTTAAGACAGACAGCATTACTTGATTTTTAACATCATTAAAATAACCTCTACTGCAAATTTCACTTCCTTGAAAAACCTAAGAGTTTGCAGTTTGCTAGAAGAAGTTCCAAATAATCCTTCATTTTTTTGATCAGAAAACCAAAACAAAGCAGGAAATTAACAGGAAACCAACAAAATACGGAAAGCAACTTTCACTAACTTCTTGCTTTCAATAGTCAGGACATCACTTATTCACACTATCTTCTTACAAGCAAAGACACTGACCTAAATGTGAGCAGAGTGGGATCAAATCAAAACGTAACTCTGCAGGGAGGGCAAAAGGATTTCAAATCAATGCAGCTCTTAAAGGTGGCAGTTTCATTTTATAATGCTCACTTTCATCTCTGTGGCAAAAGACAAGGACAGAAATCAGTCTGCCAGCCATGAACTCAATGAAAACTGCTGAAAATGCATCATATTCCTCTCACTGACAGCTCCTGCCCCTTGCCTGTTGCCTGAAGTCTTTCCTCCACAGTGCAGGAAAATGAAAGTTTTTCATTCTAGCTCCTGCTATTAAGCACAATAGCTCTCCACAGGATCCAGAATAAGCAGCATAATTAAACACCATTTGAACACACACATGCATCCCATTAGCTCACAGCAATCCTAGTTTTCAGTTATTCATCCATCACTAATTAAAGGTCTCTGCATAAGATTCTAAATTAGTAGTGCAGTCCATCTATTTAATCAGAATTATTTTAAGCACAGTTTGATTCCACAAACTGGGTACCTAGGTTTAGGTAAACAATTTAGATCTTCCCTTTGTAAAATACAAGGGTCTCTTCTTTAGAAACTGCCATTAAAACCCAATCTCCTGTTACACACAGATTTTGCTATAAATGCAATGGTTTCTATTAGCAATAGTCATAAACAGTCAGGTGTTTTAAATGTGCTAAATCAAATCTAAATCAATCCACTGGAAACTGAAATGATACCCTAACTTTCCTAGCAACTCCGCTAAACATGACACAGGAGAAAATGGCCTGTACTAAAATCCACTTGGCTTATAACTTCACAGGATTATTTCATTAACAGTGATGTTCCTCTCTTGATACATGCCATAGGAGAACATAGTACATATGTACATATTGTCCTACTGACATTATCTCATATTCACCTGAACTACCCTAATTTTTTAGCTGATGTAACAGATGGTGTTTTTTCAGACAACACAGAATATCTCAATTTTGCTCCACCAGGCAATTTAAATTTTTAGTAAAACATGTTTCTGAGCACTTCAAAATTATCCTAGCAGCTGTAAATCATACAATCACAGGTCAGTAACTACAAGGTTAGTAAAGAGACATGAATAGTGACAGGATGCACTTGGGTCCTTGCAGGGTATTTTGGCTTCCTGTTGTTTCAGACAGATTAACATAAGCAAAACACATATTGCCAAATACAGTTCCCCCACCCTGCAGGCTCACTGCTCCTGCAGAGGGGCTTGTGCCTCTGAGATTCTCTGCAGAACAGCAGTGCTAGCCCCCACTGCCTTTGGCTCTTAGCAGCAACGTCCCCAAACTGAGCAGAACATTTAAACTCGGCCCAGCCATCACAGGTGATTAAACACAACCCATCCCAACATCCACGTGTCATTCTTTTCTTACATTAATACCACTATGTTATGGACTTACTACTGCACACAGTAATAGAACATAGTGTATTACATTACTAATGCAACATCATTTTGAACTAAAGCAAAAAGGAACATAATTTCCAGGGAGATTTCCCTGGCTTAATCCGCAATAACTGCCACAGTCATCAAGTCTAAAGAGCAAACTGTGGCAACGGTGACAAGGAAAAAGTCACATTTTGGAGACTACTAGGCCACCAAAGGAAACATTTTACTTTCAATTCTAGCTACACACTCCAAACTTTGCAGCAGCAAAAGTTAGTTTTAAAGACTAATCCATCTTTGTATGTCTCCTAAGGCAAGAATTCCCCAGCATAATTCTGTTTCTCCAAAGATTTTCACCTACCCATTCCCAGACTGCTGTACAGTGCCAAGTTAAAAATGCAGTGCAAAGTGAAAAGCTTCAGGGTCTAATTCCAAACAATAATTTGCAGTCATCTTAATAAATTCCCATAAATTCACTGTGTCGTCTTCAACGCTCTCCTAGTACTGTGCTCATCTTTTCAATCCCTGTTGACAGTCTCTTGAGCACCAACAGGGCCCTTCTATAGCTGAGCCACTAAGAACATGCACAGTAGGAAATCTGCATATTCAGTACACAGAGAACTTAAAGGATTAAGAGACAGGATTTATACCTATTAAAAAAATTCACATGCAGCTAGGCTATGCTAGTCAACCAGTAGATAAAATAGTCAACCATGTAATGGAAAAAATCCCCAGAGCCCAAACCCCCTTTACTTGACAGAAGACATCAGCCATCTAACACATGAAAAAGATGCAACTCAAGATTCACATGCAGATTATTTAAAATACTGAACACATCTACCCAATTAAGAGTTCTGTGATGAGAACCTGTGTAATTCCAGAAACAGACAACCTAATGAGAAAATTATATTATACCCAGGAGGCCTGGCTGGTGCTCAGATTCCAGAGGAGTGATGTTTGTGTCCAGCAGATCACAAACGATTACTGTTCCCTTATTTCATTAATCTCATTATTTTGACTACAGCTTGATTAGAAGAAAACAAAAGGAGCACCCTGGAAATTACAGTCTAACTTGTTATCACTCATAAAGAACTCTTATAAGTGCTTTTATGCATAGAAATATGCTACAAATTGAGATTTTTATTATTAAAAGGAATCATTACAGCACATTAACTAGTCTCATAAAAGACAAATATTTCAATTGCATTTATAGACACAGCTGAAAACAAGCCTTAAAGGTTTGAATGACAACTGAAACCCTTCTGTCAAAAGTTTACATAAACAGAAAAAAAAAAGGATGTGGAAAAAAAGCTCTACAAATAAGAGGAAAAATCTGACAAATCACATGAACAGTCACATTTTTCACCCCATGTAATACGGAAGAAAACCAGGCAAAGCACAGTCAGCAGCTGTTACAAACAGAGGTTGTCACCTTTCCAGCTCAAATTTTCCTATATTCAACAATCATTGAACCGACATATCTAATCTAGAAGCCACTGTCCAGGAAATACAAAAACATTTCTCTATCTGTTCATGTGCTTATCTCCAAAAATGTTTTCTACTGTGTTTATCTGCCACATGAGACAAAACGTCTGACTTTGGATCCAAACTTTTACTTTGGTAAGAACAGCAGACGAAAACAGAACTCATCTAGCCAAATCAAGAGCAAGCCCTGTCACTTTACAGCATTTACACACAAGGCCTACTAAATAATGTAACCTCCAAGGCTATATCTGTCACTCCTGATTCCAATTCAGCTGGTTTGATGTAAAGTTCTGGGGAAAGGCTGCTTTCCAGTCACAACTGCATGGAGAAAATCCTTGTCTAACCACAAGAACAGCTGAACCCACATTCAGACTCCGAACATGAAATCTGGGGTAAGGTCACAAAGAAGGAACTTTAAAAACATTTTCAGCAGCACTGGTATTAACCTGTAACAAAGGGTAACACTGGCTGGCCCATCCCAACAAGGATTTCATACTTCTGAGCAGGAGCTTGGAAAGGTTATTCAAAGTATCTATATGCAACATCTGGGGAAAGGAAGAAGACAAGGACTTACTCTGGTCATCCATTTCATCCAAAACAAACGTAACTGACTCCCACCACTCCGTTTCTCTGTATTTTCCACTCAACTCTCAGTCTTGAATCAGAGAAACATAATAGTATCCTCCTCTCTGTATTATGCAACTTTAATAAATGAACAGATCATCTTCCAAGACAAAAGAACACTTTCACCAAACACTGGCACATTCCAACAATGACAACTCCCATTTCAACCACATATCTTGACAAAAAATTAACTCCCTTCAAAAAGGACAAAATGTAAATGAAACCAATGCCCATTACACAGACAGCTGCAGTAAAAGCTAATTTGACTTCTTCAAAATATCAATTAGATTCCATTGCCTTTCACTTCAGTTCTCCTGTGCATTAAAGCTGTTAGCTCAGACGCAGGCAAGACATTTAGCCACTGCCTAAATGAAGAATTTATTGTTCCAGCAGAAATGCCACATACTCAGCCCTGGGCTTTGACACTGCAGAGATAACACACATATGTAGCTCAGCCTGTTTCAAAGCACAAGGGACTGAACTGACAACGCAATCTACTCGCAGCTCAAAATAAGTCAGTGTTTCTTCAAGACCAATTTTAAATCAGCTTTCTCAGAAAAACCTCTGAACCATCTCCAGAGCGACGCTGCAGGCTCCTCCCTGCCAGCTCTTTAGGCTAAAAGCATCCACCTGCACCTGAGAGGTCACACGGCAGAACGACCCTCGAGTGCTCACCTGCAGGTCTGTCTTCAGCCATTTGGAGTCGAACCTTGCCTGGGCAGACAGACAGAAAGAGTCCGAAGTCATGATTGCTCCTGCAGCCCTCGCGCGGGGCCGGCCGTGCGGTCCAACCTGTTCGAGGGACACAAACCAGCGCAGCAGATCAGACGCAGCACACGAGGCTGTTCCTGCGCACACCGGGAGGGTTGGACCGAACCCCAAAAACGCATCGTGTGCACCACGAGCTGCCCGC